ATAAGTAGAAAAACCTTCGCGACCTGAAATAAAATAAAATAAAATAAAATTAAAAAAAAAAAAACTAATTATCGACATCATCAAACTGTGTAATTTCCCCAATATAATAATAAATATTCTGCAACTTTTATTCTTGTTTTTAAATGTGAAGAAGAAAAAAAGGAAAGGTTACCAATCGTGATAAATTCCGATCAAGCCCCTCTCAAAGACAACACCCAAAGTATTGTCGGCGATAGTGGGGACCACATTCATCACCCACAGTTTGGACGAATCCAATGCCGCCGCAAAGCCGCCAAGGCCAGCATTCATATCCATGATGTTTCTATATCTTGGGCTACCCAGTAACCTGTTAATTCTTTTGTAATTGGTAACACGCTTTTTCCAAAGTTTATTGTCCTCTTCGTAGGATTCAGTTGTGACACCTGGCACATCGCCACTGCGTACACGCGGCGGCACATCGAAAAGACGGGCTGGGAATTTGCTCAACTCTCCTCCAGCTACTTCATCGGAACTCTTCACCTCCGGGAAAGGAGTTATGCATGTCTCCATTTTCTTGTACCTAAAAATAAAAGTCACGATTTAAAAAATAATAAAGAAAAGGTTGTTACGTAATTATAAACATGGGATTGTTACTTTCGACTTCGTAACATAACTTATCATGACATGTTCGGATGAGATAAATCGAGGAATGATGAATAATGTATAAAGGTTTTTACTTAGTCGTAATTTACTTACCATACATCACCATCATCCGAAGACTGACAAAAGTTGTCGGATTTTCTAGCGCAAGATTTGTCGTTGACTTTTTTCTGCCAGATGGCAACATCTCCTTTTTCGTACTTCTTCTCCCAGCAAAGGGATTCAGCCAACTCTTCGATTCTTGATTGCTCAGCTTTTAGATCTTCTTTTGATCTTTTCCATGTTTTGTAGTATGTCTTCCAATTGATTGGAGGGCCCGACAAAACCCAATATCCACCGGGTCTAAGAACTCGGTCAACTTCCATTAAGTACGTCCCATCTAGAATACATGAAAAAAAAACATGTGAATATTAGAGGTACTTTGATGAAAGAAAAGAAAAAAAAAAGGAATCTTTTGTTTTAATTATTTATGTTTGCTATTTGAAAAACTTCTCAAAGCAGAAACCCGAAAATATTATAATTTTCCAATTTTTTTCTTCGTCAAAATGATAATTGATCGATCATCTTAGAAGAACAATTATGATCATTGACGAGGAATCATACGGTTTGCAAGTCAAAACGATTCATTTGTTTCACATGTATTTGACGATTTCCCGTCCATGAAAAAGGCTTAGTAAAGTCGAAAAGAAACGGAATCTTTTAACTTATTTAGTAAAGGCGGCAAAAATCAGAAAACATTCTTGAACTCATCCAAGTTCTGATCACCACTAATATATTACGTAATCGATATTTCCCACAATTCGATACTAATTATTCCATTTTCCTCGTTAAAAAATGATAATTGAGACATCTTAGAAGAACAATTATGAACAATGATGAGGAATCGTAATTGAATTATTCCACGTTTTAATACTCCCATGTCCCGAATTTATTACCCGATTTCCATATTCCAAATTTCTAAATAAAAAGATTATTATGCTGCAACAATTATTACATACCGTTGGCGGTCCATGGAATCAAGCACCTCGAGCATTGAGCCATATCAAAAGCTCTAGACGGATAAGGAAGCTGTATCGATCCAAGAACTGCAATAATCGCAGGCACACCTCTTTCCAATGCAAATTGCACTTGCGCCTCGTGATTATCCCTCGGCGCAAACGACATTGTCAACACTTTCCTCTTGAGCATATACGCACCCCAACTAGCAACCTATTTGCCAAAAAATAAATAAAATAAATAAATAAAAATTGCCCTCATTGAGTAAACTTAAAAAAAAAAACTAAAATTAGTTACAAAATACGAAAGAAAGAAAGAAAGAAACATACTCCACAACCGGTATCAAGGGCAGTTCGAATGGATCCATCGGCTATGGGAATAACACTCGCCAGCTCATCAATATAAGCATCGGCCCCCTGAGGAAACATAGTCCCACCCCCCGGAAACTTAAACACATTACCCTCAAACTGCACCCAATTCTGCACGGCCTTCTCAACCGCCAAGCTTTTAAAAGGCACATTCGAATAGTAAACATAGTCCCGACTCTTGGGCCAAGCAAAAGGGCTCGTGTACCCATTGGGAGCCGGAATCAAGCACTGCAATTTCTCGTTTTGCGGTGGGCAGTGCCTCTCTCTATAGACCATATCCTCCCTAGGGAATTTCATGGCACGATCTTGCTCTTGGCAAGGAGTGTAGTCCGTGTACTTAACATCGCACGGTTTGAATACTTTCGATTTGGGTTCCTCCGACGAATGAACGGGCGCCACGTAGTTGTGGTGGCTTTCGAAGTCGAGGGAGGGCGAGACTTCGTTGCAGTTCGCTTGCTGTTTGTTGATCTCGATTGCGTAATTGTCTCCCTTGCCGAAACCACTCCTTTGCCATACTCCTAGCAAGTAGAAGAAGCAGCAGAGGCCGATTACGACGAATAAGGAGAGCCGGCTTCGCCCTTTAATCCCCGATGATGCGTGAATTTTCGAAGCCATTGATTTATAAATTAATGCTCAGTAAATCATCCAGAAGTACTCACCCCTATTAAATGAAAATTTATTCACAGAGATTTAATGCACAGCATAAAGCAGAGAGAGAAAGTAGATCTTACGAGATTAGGTTTTATCAAAAAACAGCATCTAAAACAAATCTTTACCTCAATCGAACATGTATGTATATAAATTGATGAGATCTGTTCGGAAAAAAAAGTAGATGAAGCAAAGATTCTTAATTCAGGATCCAACTAAGTTCATTGTTACTATAATTGATTAACTGAAAATGAAGATGATTGAACCAAAAAAACAAGTAGTTGAAAAAAGAGAAGAGATTAACCTGGAGAGTAAGTATGAGCGCTGAGTATATACGGAGTGACTCACTGAGTCAGATTCCGTGCTTCAAGAGAGAGATGTATCTTCTTCTTCTACTACTTCTAGTTGTTATATTATGTAAAGAGTAATGCGATTACAGAGAGATGTTTGTGGGAGGGGGGTGGTGGGTGGGGAGTGGGGGTGCGAGTATTTATTGTGTCAGACATGTCACAAAGTGAACGATGAGTGTCAATTAATTCTTTTATTTGAATGTTTTCTTCTTCTTCTTTTATTGTTTAATTTTTTTATTTTTTTATTTCAACTTAACACCGACAGTCTCGGAGATGTCTAGTAAGATTCTTCAATATTTTTATTTTTTATTTTTTAATTTAATTTCGCATGGGTATTTGATAAGGATGACATATAAATACTTATTAATGCGATTCTTCAATTTTTTTTTTTTTTTTTTTTTTTTTTTTTTTAATTTCGCATGGGTATTTGATAAGGATGACATAATAATTACTTATTAATGTTCAAAATACAGTTAAACCTCTATAAATTAATACAGTTGGGACCATCAAAATTTCATTAATTTAGCGAAATATTAACTTATCGATAAATTAATAATTATTAATTTATACATTAATTAATAACTTATTAATTTATGAAATTACTTTTAGTATTATTTTCAATATATATATATATTTTTAATCTTTTTTACATGTATATTATTCATTGTACCATTAGTTCAATGCACTGTAGAGCCTTTTTTCACGAGCGGAAACTCTTAAAGCAGCAATGGTATATAACGATTTTATGTTGAGTTATGAGAAAATTATACCGAAAGTTCTAACCATGTTAAGAAAAGTGAGGGACGAGATTGATCATAATGTGAACTTCAACAAGAAACAAGCGACAATTAAATTATATTGTATTAAGCTTTCACAGATCTATAAAACATGTACTGTACCATGTACTTTAAGAATTATTTTTATGCATTATTAATTTATATATTATATGGGGCTTCTTAAGATTTTCGAAAGTGTATTATCTTATAAATTTAGCGAATTATTAATTTAGCACGTTGTCCCCGAGTCGGGACCGAGAAAAAATATTATTTAAGCGAGGTTATTAATTTATCGGGTATTAATTTATCGAGGTTCTACTGTATCATACTAAAACTTATCTATAAGTTTACAGACCCAACTTTAAAATTTGCTGAATTTCAACATTACCCTTGCATTAAAACTAAATATGTTATTATAAATATCTCAAAACATTTGCTAACATTAGGGTTGAAAATTGGAACGAAATCGTTCGTCCCGATCGGACAAAATCCCAATTCGGAACCCTTCTTTTTATTCCAATTTTCAAAATTCTGACTTCCAATTTTCTAAATATAATTTATGATATATTTTATATAAGAAAATAGAAACACATAAACTAAAGTCCAAAAAAAAAAAAAAAAAAAAAAAAAGTCTTAAGAGATAGGTTTCTGGTGACAAAACTAAATAGAACTAAATGACAGCCTCAACTAAACATTTGCTTTACATCATTTATTAAATTAATTCAAAAAATGCCCTTCCACTCATCTTTATTTTTTTGTCTTTTACTTTATCATTTTTTACATTATTAAAAACAACTTATTTTTTTCTTTATTTTTGATTTGAAAATTACGAAAAAAAATATTTTTTTTAATTAAAAATACAACAGATTTTTTTCTACATAATATTGAAAATTACAAAAACAACATGTTTTTTGTTGTTGTTTTTTTTTTTTTAATTCAAATTACAATTTTTTAATTTTTTAATTTAATTTATTTTTTTGTCAATACTATAGTATACTGCGGTGTACTATGATCTACTACGGTGTACTACAAAACCCTAGCAGGCAACAACACCAATCTCACCAACCCTAGTCGCCTACATTCACAGCCGTTGCCACCATAGTCAACTACCAACTTTGAGAAAACCTAAATTTACATTTTTAAACCCAAATCAAACAAAATTTCTTGAAGATCAAGAAAATCATATGCAATTAGTAATGAATATACTTTCAGTTTTTCAATTAAATCTCCACCATAACCACATCCCTCACCGCTGCTTCGATCTCCACAGCCCCCGCCGCCACAACCACTATAGCGGGACAGTCCCCATCGCCGCCTCGACCACCATAGCGGGACAGCCCCCGACTCGCATCGACCATCACAGCCCCCTGCCGCCACCTCCACCACCACGGCCCCCCGCTGCCGCCTCGTGCACCACAACCCTTTGCCTCGTGCTACAACTGAAGAAGAAAGCAAGAGAGATATAGAGATGAAAAGGTGAGAGAGAAAAAAAAACGAGAGAGAAAAAAATATGCAAGGACAACGTGTGTGTGAGAGAGAGAACGGAGAGAATACGAAAATAATAAAATAAATCTGAATAAAAGAAACGTGAATATGTAGGTTAGAGAATTTAGGGTATAAGGGCAAGATTGAGATATAAAAAAATTAGGGATGTGGCTCATATATTATTTCAAATTAAATATTTAATTAAAAGAATGAATTTGGACTTGTCATTTAGTTCAAATTATGTTTCGTTTGAGGGACTCATAGCATATTACCCAAAAAAAATAGTTCATATCAAATTTTTTTTGTTGCATTTGTTTTTTTTTTGTTTTTTTTTTTTTGTTTTTGTAACCGGGTCGCATTTTGTTGAACTCACTTTTGGATTTTATTGTAAATTGTTGGAAAATTTCGAAAGAATTGATTTTTTTAAATGAAAATTCCCATTATATCCGAATTTGGAACAAAAAATTATAAATAAATGTGATTTCCGGATTAGTCGATTATGAAATTGGAATGAATTTTTGAATTTCGAATTTTTTTGGAACGAAAATTGAAACTCATTTTTAATTCTTGAAAAAAAATAAAAAATTTCCGGAAAAAACAATTTTTGATCCGGTGCATCCGATTTTCACCCCTAACTAACATCAATAAAGAGATTTGCTAATATCCTATTTCTTTTGTAGATATATTATATTTGCATGTACATGACAAAGAGCATCTCCGGCAGATTTGCTATACACTAAATTTTAACAAATTTATTAAATGAGGTTTTTATGCAAAAGCCCAACCAAACATGTTTATTATTTTACGTTTATGGGGTATATCTTTCACCAATAAGCCCATCTGTTTAATATTTATTATAACTAAAGGAAACATTCATGTATATCCCAATATTACCCTCAACTATTTATACCCAATTCTTAATTGTAACCTCAATTTATCAATTTTGTCCACAAAAATCCAATTTTGACCACAAAAATTCAATTTTGACCTTTTTTGAACACAATTTAATATGCTCCAATTTCATCATTAACTTATTTTAATTTCAATTTGACCCCAAATTTCACAAATTACTCAATTTTGACCCAAAACTTGTTTTTTTCAATTTTTTTTTGCCGTCGGATTCCGGCGTTGACTTTTCAACTTTTTTTTTTTTGTTTTGCTTTTTTCTTTTCTTCCGGATTTTTTCGCCGGTTTCTGGCGGTCTCCGGCGTTGATTTTTTTTAGTGTTTTTTTAATTTTTTGTTTTTGTTTGGTTTGTTTTGTTTTTCCACGTCCGCCGCTAAACGTTGACCGTAATTGTGCTGTCACTGACAGTAAATTAACGTAATTATACTGTCAATGATAGTTAATTAACGTAATTGTACTGCCGTTGACATTACATTTATGTAATTGTGCTGCCGTTGACAGTAAATTAATGTAATATTATTAAATTTTATTTTTTATTATTTTTTTTTATTTTGTTTGATTTGTTGACAAGTCAACGTAATTATATTACTGTCGTTGACAGTAAAATAACTGTAAACACAATAATATTACTGTCAACAACATCAATATTATTATTTTTTTTGGGTTTTTTGTTTTGTTTGAGTTATTCACGGAGTAACGTAATAACATTACTGTCTATTATTGTAATATTACTGTAAACACAATAATATTACTGTGGTTGACGGTAATATTACTGTTGTTATAGTAATATTGCTGTCAACCACATCAATATTAATATTTTGTTTGGATTTTTTGTTTGTTTGAGTTATTCACGGAGTAACGTAATAATATTAGTGTCTATTATTGTAATATTACCGTGGTTGACGGTAATATTACTGTTGCTATAGTAATATTACTGTCACTCACAGTAATATTAATTCTTTTGGTTTTTTTTATTATGTTTACATTTGTTGAACGGTCAACATAGTAATATTACTTTATTACACAATAATAGTGAGTTTTGTTGTGTTAATATTAATGTGCTAGAGATTAATATAGCAATATTACTGTGTTAAACTGTAGTTTAGTTAATTTTACTGTGTTTAACGGTAAAATAGTTAATATTACTGTCAATCACAACAATATTGTTTTTTAAACGGAAAGAAAAGTTACAGAAAAAAAGAAAAGAAGAAAAAAAAAAGTCAACGCCGGAGACCGGCGAAAAAATCCGGAAGAAAGAAAAAAAAAAGTTGAAAAGTCAACGCCGGAATCCGGCGGGAATTTTTTTTTTTTGAAAAAGAAAAGGTTTTTTGTCAAAATTGAATAATTTGTGAAATTTGGGGTCAAATTGAAGTTAAATTAAGTTAAGGATGAAATTGGAGCATATTAAAGTATGAGGAGTTATTTTAGTCATTTACAAAAAATTTGACCATGTGTGGACTTATTCGTAGAAGAGATTTTTGTCTGAATTTATTAAAGTATAAGTACCCATTGATGGGGTTATTTGTAATATGCCCTGATTAAATTCTGTTAAAAAAAATGAGGTTTAACGGCTATTTTAAAAATTAGCACACTTGGTAAATAATTAGTTTGACTTTCCAAATTTGAGAAGTCAAGTTTATAT